ATCAGCTGTTGAGTTATTGTTTTAAAGGTATGACCAAGTGGAGGATATTAATATGGATTTTTTCATCGCAAACTAATTCCCCATATCATGCACTCTGTCTACGTCTACGGATAAACCTATTAGTGCTTATAAAAACTTCCATATCCAAAAAAACTCCAATCTCAGCAATTAACCCTAAGAAGCCGCCGGAAATGAAGACTGGAGACAGTTTTGTTTACCCGACCTACCACACTCCGACTACTCTGCTCGATTACCGGATAACACGGTAGACAGTAGCTCTGTCGGCGCGTTTATTGTGGTTAAACAGAAGCCGGGGACCCTCAAGTTTGGGGGGGGGGGGGGGTGGCGCCAAAATACTTTCACACTTGGTCGCTACTCGCTACGCTCGGAGTGCCGAGACCTTTTGTAACTAGGATGATGACCTCCCCTTTTAGGCTATTGTTTCCTAGAAACGTAAAATTGATTGGCCCCAAATTGTATTTTAAAGGGTAGTAAATAGGGTCTACTACAGTATCAGACATTGCTGAATGTGTAAAATATGCTTTACGTGCTTGTAGATGTAAATATAAAATATTGATTTTTATAGAGATCTTTACTCCCGTTTTGCTACGAGCGCTTCATAAATTATGGAAATACTGTAGTATTTTGCACGGGTTTTCTCAGGGTTTTAATTTTACAAAAGCAGTCTGGAGGTAACATAAACTAACAACCTAAAATTTACCTTCCTAATTTAACCTAACATTGTTTTGAGAAATAGTTAGGTGTATGAGCGTAGTATCGCTACTACCATACGCTCTATACATTTTATATTCCTTGTGGATTAGCTGACGATAATTTTAAAGTTAGTTCCTTCCGGTTTACGAACACGGTATTTAGTTATTTAATATGTGTTTCTTAATATTTAATCAATATAAAAACTATTTTAAGAGAATAAAACAATTTTTTGATAAATTAAACTATGCGCCGGTATCCAATAAAAACCAACGAAGTTTGATATCACTGTCTGTGTGGTTTACGAAGATGTTTTAGATTGTCTTAGTTAAAACGTTTGTCAAAAACTCAACGGAGGAGCTCGATAACAAGTTAGCAACAAATGTTATAAATAAATAATCTATATAAACTATAATTACGTGTATTACTAACATGTCACTAACTCATACCACAATGTTTTTGCTGTTTACCGAACCACCAAAAGAGTTAAAAGAAGTAGCCATAAATGAGTAATTCGTCGATAAAGTAGGCCTATCATTGCTATGATCGAGAAGAGAAGCTATTCCGCTTCGTGCGTAAACGTCCGAATACATTAAAGAACCAATTGTGCGTACTAGTAAATATTACACCAACACAAATTAACATAAAGTATTTCTGTTTCCTATCGTGTTTAGAATCCTAAAACACTAATACAAAAATTATTTTAACTAATAAATCAAAAGACAAACTAGACCAAAGAAACTGAAATTGATATATTTTGATTTATTGTTCATTTGAAGAAGTGTTGTAATATTTCCTTGAGAAAGGATAAATCATGAGGTACTTGACCATTTCCAAATAGTCTGGCTTATTTTAGCTGTGAGTACATAAGCAGAATAAAAAAAAAAGACGTTGAAAAGAATTGCGCTTTTTTACCCACCTTGCTAAATACCGTCTGAAATTACACTCGTAAAGACTACATAGGAAACTAAAAGGACCTTCACATTCTAGTTCTGTTCCCATTCCATTTCCTCTTTCTCACGTGTCTACTGCGGCGCTACTGATCCAATCTTTGTCCCTTTGGCGGACCTAACTTATAAAGCCCTCGAAATCGAGCCGGACATCGAGATTGCGTCAAATCGAGCAGAATCGACAATCGGCGGACAGCAGCACAGTAGTAGGGACAACTCAAAACGGATTAATGGGTTCTAAAGGGCCGGGGCGGGCGGCTTGTCAAAGGGATGTTTACTTATCTGTTTGGGGCGGGTCAGGCGCCAGCGGCGCTCGCTACGGCGCCTTCGGGAACTAGGATCAGCTGTTAATTAGTCGAGGACATTGGCGCCTTTGTTTTCCCGCCAAAATGACGTCTGTCGGTCATAAAGCCCCGATGTTATCGCTATCTGTCGTCTGCAAGGAGTCCGGCGGCGCGCGGCTACTTTGAGATGGCATCTTCTGTTATTTCAGTAACCGATTCGACAAGCTGTCGTCACTAGCACTCGGGTACAAAGCTGTCTGATGTATGTGTCGGTAGATAGTGATAGTGATGCCGACTGTGGACTGTCACTGTAAAGAATAGCCGTGGGTCGTGGGAGCTACATTGCCTAAAGGGTTGACCACGGATTGGACACTGTTTTTTGAGAGGTTTTTTTTTATTGTAAAAGACGAATTCAGGGCCGATTTACCGAATAGGCAAGGTAGGCACGTATAGGGCGCGAAGCAATTGGCATTTTTGGGGGGCGCCAAAAAATTGGAAAAAATAAAAAAAATTGTGGCCGTTTTTGCATGCGATCGCGGTAAATCCCTTGCGGCCGTGAAGACACCTCAGTCTCCCACAATCGCGGCAAGATGTTAATTATTTACCGCGGTTGTATATACGTCATCATCGTCCGTCTCCCGCGATCGCGTCAAAGTTCTGACTATTTCCAGCGGATGTGTGGACATAATTATCGTCTTCCTTGATCGCGGCAATATATGAACACATCCCGCGGTCGTGATGAGATTATCACCGTCTACCGCGAATGAGGCAAAATTGTAATCTTTTCCCGGGGTCGTGTGGACATTATCATCTTCTTGCGTGATCACGATAAAATTCTGATAATCCCTCACAGCCGTGAAGACATCATCGCCTCCCGTGGTCGTGAGGCATTGTCATCCTCTCCCGCCATTGCGGCAAATGGTAATCATCTCCCGCGGTTGTTTGGAGATAGTCATCGTCTTTCACGAATGAGGCAAATTTCTGATCTTTCCCGTGGTTGAGTGGACATTATCATCGTCTTACGCGATTGCGGTAAAATTCTGATCATCCCTCGCAGCCGTGTAGAGTAGACATCATTATTGTAACTCCCGTGATCCTGTAGACATCTCAATCGTCCCCCGCTGTCGTGAAGACATCATATAATCGTCTCCCTCGGTCGTGAAGACATCGTAATCGTCTCCCGCGATCGTGAAGACATCGTAATCGTCTCCCGCGATCGTGAAGACATCGTAATCGTCTCCGCGCGATCGTGAAGACATCGTAATCGTCTCCCGCGATCGTGAAGACATCGTAATCGTCTCCGCGCGATCGTGAAGACATCGTAATCGTCTCCGCGCGATCGTGAAGACATCGTAATCGTCTCCGCGCGATCGTGAAGACATCGTAATCGTCTCCGCGCGATCGTGAAGACATCGTAATCGTCTCCTGCGGTCGTGAAGACATCGTAATCGTCTCCCGCTGTCGTGAAGACATCGTAATTGTCTCCCGCGATTACGGCAAAATGTTAATAATATCCCGCAGTTATGTGGATATCATTATCGTCTTCCGCGATCGTGGCAAATTTCTGACTGTGTTCCGCGCGATCGCGGTAAAATCATGATCATATCCCATGGTCGTTTAGACATTATCATCGTATCATGCGATCGCGGCAATATTCTGATTATCCTACACGGCTCTGTGGATCTCATTATCGTATTGCGCGATCGCGGTAAAATCATGATCATATCCCGCGGTCGTTTGGATATTATTATCATCTCAAGCGATCGCGGTAAAGTTCTGATCATCCCTCGAGGCCTTGTGGAGACATATTATCGTCTCCCGTCTCCCGTGGTCACGGAAACGTCACTGTTGTAAATTGACAATTCCAGGTAGAAATAGAAAATTAACACATAATTCCTGGTCAAAAAAATTCACGCTTAGTTTCCGGATTTCCCGGTTGGTGGTCACCCTGTTATATATTGCAAAGGGGCGCTACTATTAGTTGTGCCTAGGGCGCTGACATGGTCAAAAACGGGCCTGGACGAATTTACAAGTAGGCCTATATTGAAGTGGAGGGATTTTAAAGTAAATTACCTTCGGTGGCTGGATAAAGAAAACTTGGATGATACCCTCTCCACTTGTTTTCATAATGAAATCAGACTCATACAAAATCAGAAAATGTTTTAAAAAACATAGATTGGATAATTACTTACCCATAAACATAACTTTTTCTATACAGGTTGATACAAATTTCTGAGTATCTCAGCTGATGTAGACCTATGTGAATGTGTTAAAAGACATATTACAAAAACCTCAATTCATGTCTTCAAGTAAAGTAATACCCCTATAGGTCTACTATGTATACTCAATGCTCGATTTAGGGGGGAACGGAGTTCCGGTACCTCTCTTTCGGAAAGATAAAATATTGGCATAAATATATACAAATTGCATTAAATAGGTTATATTTCCAGGACCTCATTTTTTACAAAATGAGCACTGTATATACGAAACGTCTTAATATGTATTAAAAGATAAGTTTTAGAAAAGAGGTTATTGACAAAAAAAGTTACATCCCAAAAATAGCAACACATTGAACAAACATGGATTATAAATCGGATCGGTTAAATTGAAAAATTAGACTGATTTAAGATTGAGTTGAATGAAAAAAATACATGGATTAATTAACAGTTTTACTTTTCTATTCAAATTTACTTATTTACATATTGTTTTACGATTAAGAGTTTTTGAAGCAAATTCCTCTCTTCCTTGCAGTAGATTCGGAGTCTCTCACACATCTATTTACATTATAATCCATTCTCTTTGGCTGATTACCAATAGGTAGTGAGGCTTATTGGTTAATGTCTTTTCTAGGAAGCCGCTACTGGTCATCACCTAGCTCACGTTAGCTCAGAAAAGAATTCTTGATGCTCATTCTACTCAACTCTTTACACCAACTGGTTGATTAAATTATATGTGAACAACAGGGTTTGCTTAGCTGACCACTGTGGGTTAAGGTTTAATTCCCTTACAATATTAACAATCCACTAAGAAATTCTCAAACTGAACGTTTTCCCAGGAGGATGTTCCCTTACCTCCGTCTGCAAGTTAACGGCCTCAACCCCAACGCTCGCTACTTCCTTGTGCTGGAGCTCGCCCCCGCTAGTGAGTTCCGCTACAAGTTCAGCAGCGGGGGCAGTTGGATGACGGTGGGGACTGCCGAGCCCCAGATGCCGTCCAGTGCTAGGGTCTATATACACCCTGACTCCCCCGCCACAGCGGCACACTGGAGCGGACAACAGGTGTTGTTCAACAGGGTCAAACTCACCAACAACAACCTCGACCGTTCCGGCAATGTAAGTTGATTCAGTGGACAGTGACTGTAATATTTGGTGTGTTGTTTTTTCATTGTGACAACAACGTGAAAACAACAATGTTGGGTATTTTTAAAGAGTCTTCTTCACCCCTGCAAAAAACACTAAAAACATGCCTCGGAAGTTCTTTTTTTCTGATGGAATTGGTAAAGATCTGATGTTACAATTCAACTACAGTAGACTCCCTCTTATCCTCGGGACCGAGGCTAGTCCGGATAACGATTTTTCGGTTAAACCGATGTTCCCAAAAACTCATTAACTACCGTACTGATTTTGATTTGACTTGACTTAACCAATAACCTCATTTTAAAGTAATCTAGCAAATCACAATTCACAATCAATTATGAATTTTGATTTGAAGGAGAAAATATGTTACATACATGCTTAGGTAATTAACAAAACGTTAACCTTATAACGTTATAACATGATTGTTTCACAGACAAATATTTGTTTTGTTTACTAATGTGCTTTTTTCCCCAGATTGTTCTCAACTCCATGCACAAGTACGTTCCCACTGTACACGTGATCATGGCCACAGACGTGCTCGCTCTTCACTGGAGTCCACGAGCCACATTTGTGTTTCCTACGACTGAGTTCATGGCAGTCACTGCCTACCAGGTGAGCAGATATTTTTTGACTTTGTTGATATCGTCTTGGGATTTGAGTATGTCTCGGATTATTGTTCCAACAAATGCTTGAAAATTGTATGCGATTGAACATGTAGATGAAATTCTAAAACTGTAATTTTTTACAAAAATACTTGTGTGGTCTAATAGAACACATGATAACTACCTTTTGCATTAAAAAGTTTTGTTTGGATTGTAAAAAAAAGCAAGGAGCTCAACAAATAGAATTTGAAAGTTAATGGTAAACATTTGTGACCCAATTTAAAGCAATTTTCATCTTTCCTTAGTCTCAAAGTTATAGAGAATTTTGAATTTTTGTACTCTCAATTCTCTTGTACTCTCTCTCTTTGAGTTTTGTCACTCTTAATTCTGTAAATTTCATATAATATACCGTTTTACATTTACACTGTATTTAATCCATGTATTATTTTCCAGAATGAAAAGGTAACGAAATTGAAGATCGACAATAATCCGTTTGCCAAAGGCTTCAGAGAAGGAGGGGACGGAGTCTTCCGATCAAAGAAGCGCAAAGCTGAACAACAAGCCAAAGAGGATGAAAGTACGTAATTGCAATTAACACAGGAAATAGCTGTTTTTAAAATTGCAGCATTGCTTAGCTACAGTCTCCTTCAAAGATTGTTTACGTATTTCACATGCCAAAAAAATTGTAGGAATATTAGGCTTCATTAAAAGATAATGGAGTTTGATTCCTGATCAAACCTCATATTTATAAATGATTTTCTTGAAACATCATCATTACGATTCTGTGTCTTTAGTTGAGAGTCGGCAGGACTGCCACTGCCGGCCATCTTGGATTTTCTGCCCATAATGGCAATGATAATGGTTGAAGCATATTACGGCATTGTTTATTAAGATAAAAAGTTGCAAAATATCTAATTTTAAAGCTATTGAAATTTTATTTTTTTGTACTGATAACTCACTACTTCTCGACACTAATCAAAATATACTAAACAATATTTTCAAATCAGCTGGTATTATTGGATTTGGCAACACCGCACTGTCCTCATTGGCTCCTTCGAATTCACGTGGTAAATAGACTCCTCCCTCAACTGCAGACTCTCGTTGAACGTACTGTAATACTGGACCTGTAACCTTTTCACGACTTCCTTTAGGTATCATAAGATATTTGTATAAGATTTTAAATTAACAATCTATCCATTTTCAGGACTCAAGAAAACTTGTGCTAAGCAAGAGTTGGAGAGGTCCACAGATGACAGTGGTGTCTCGTCCATGGGTTCCCCCACCCCTCCCACCACTACGACTCCCGTCACTTCACAACTTGACAGATACTCGCCTCAGCTGCCGCCGAGGTTCATGATACCCGACATGAATCCTTACTTTCATCCGTCTCTTTGGCACTACCCATATTTTCTCCCACCTCCACCCCCTCTATTTCACTCCCCCTACTACGCACACCTTCTTCCCCCCCTCACTCCAAACATCGAGCCTTACGAGTCTTTCCTGATGGATCTGAGAGTCAAGAAGGAAACCATCACAATCACAAACCAGTAAAGTGTATTTGTTTTTTTCATTTGTTACCAAAGAAGTTGTTTTTGTTAATTTTTCATGTATATAATTTATTTAGTATTTTGTTACAAAGGAGAAATTTAGTTCCTCGCAATAGAATAAGTTATTAGTAATTTATACTAAGGTTATTTAGTTCCTCTTTTTGACGTGTGTGTAATATGTAAAAAATCAATTTTGTTACTAAGGTTATTTATATCACGTTGTAAGTGATTTGTATAGATGTTGATATTCGAGTGTACAGTTTTGTAATATTTGTTTTGTTTTTTAGAATTAGAGGAGAAGTTTTTGTTACTGAGTTTTATTGCTCCTTCCTTTTTGTGCTAATTTATATATACACCTAGATCAAAAGGTCTACAGTAGACCCCCTCAAGATTCAAGATTCAAGATCTTTATTTGTCATTAAGCAATACAAGTATTACAATAGACATCGTCAAAGTTTTTTTCTTTTTTTTTCTAATAATACATACAGTTAATTTCCTGTTAGAGTAGGCCTAACAGCAAGAATGCACCAAGTGAGTAGCAATCACTCTTTAAAAAAATAACAGTTAAACATAATTAACTCTAAAATAAATCATATCCAGACTCCTCGGGACCGAGGCCAGTCTGGATAACGGGTTTTCCGGTTAAACCGACATCCCCAAAAACTTGTTATGTAACACAAATATTTGACTTTAATTTAGGAGAGCATTGTATTTAGACACGTGATCACTGGTCTCAAATATTTCCCACGAGAACAGTCGTTTCAGTACCGCCCACTTCCTGCCGATCTAGTCCGGTTAAACCGATGTGCTGATAAAAATTGTCCGGTTAAAGAGATGTCATTTCCGCCGAGTGTAGTCCGGTTAAACCGATTCCCGGTTAAAAGGTGTCCGGATAAGAGGGAGTCTACTGACGGTTATCAGTGTTGCAATGGAGCGGGAAAGGCATTTCCCATTATGCTTATTCCAACAACCCTGTATTTAATATAATCCTAGGATGATTAATATTTTTTTTTAAGTTCATTGTTGGTAATGGTGAGTTAAAGTTGTTCAAAGGTTTATTGCGGATCCCGTCCTCAGGTGAAAAAACTTAACTAACACATTACAACTAACAATACACAAACGCCCAATCTAAGTTGGAATACACTACAGAAGGTAGCAGTCAAAAATATGCACTGTATAGCAGTCATGATACAACATGCAAATAATAACCAATCACAAAACACTATAATCTATAAAAGGTGTAACGTAAAAAGCTCACACAATGGAACACTAATAGCACCGTTCGCAATGACTCCACCAATGAGACTGATGCAACATGGCCGACCAATCGGAAACACGGAGACAACAGAAATGGCTTCCGGTCCCTGGAAAAGTAAAACCAACAAAATGGCGGAGCGATGTACGATGCCGCAAGATGGGTGTTAATTCTGTTTATTCCTATCACGAGTTTTACTACGAGTTAACATAACGTGCAAATTTTAAGGAGAACTCGTTATTTCCCTATTTATTGAACAATTAAGTTCCCTATCCTTTAGTTCCTTGTTCAAAATGGGTAGCCAAAGTGGCCTGATTTCAACCGATGACTGATTGGTTGGTCTGCTAATTTAATGTATGAGGCTTCAATGAGTTTACTTTTGAAAAAATGAGGTTCCTTATGGACAATTTTTGCCTCTTGAAAATTCATACGATGATTTTCGGACCAGCAATGATGAGCGATCTTAGATTGATAGAAATATTGGTGAAACATTGATAGAAATACTCAAATTCCACAGTGTGATGATGCAAAAAACCAAGTTGTGAATCTGTCTTCTAAAGTTCTATACCCCGTTGAGATTTCTGTTTTGAGCAGAGGGCTAAATTTTTCCGTTGTGCCTAAATCAATTAAAACGCTGGATTTTGTGACAGGGAATGAGTCTGCTGTTTCTCAGTTACCTGAGTCGCAGGGGGATCAGTTTCGATGTGAAGCTAGTATTTTACTAAAGAAAATTCCCACTCCTAAACCTAAACTTAGTAAAGAGGAAACCAAAGCAGTATCAGTCCTTGGGAAAGACGGTACTGTTAAGATTTTGCCCGCGGATAAAGGGAATGCCACGGTAGTTCTTGATACTGTGACATTCGAAGAAAAAATGTTAGAAACTTTGCAAGCTGGTAAATACACCCAATTGAAAAAAGACCCCACAGGAACTTTCGAGCATAAAATCGCTAGTACTCTAAGAAAACACAAAAAGTTTTTTAGCGACAAACAAAGGACTCGGTTAACACCACACCATTCCAAAATTCCACACATGTACGGGTTACCTAAGATCCATAAACGTAACGTTCCACTGAGACCGATAGTTAGCTACCGTGGTTCTGCTTGTAGGGAATTGTCTTAAGTCCTTCTGGACATTTTAAAGCCGTTAGTAGGAAACACTGATTCGTTTATCAAAAACTCTAAAAGATTTTGTAGAAACGTCTAAATCTATCGTACTGGCTGATACTGACAAGCTGGTCAGCTTCGATGTTGAAAGTCTGTTTACGAATGTCCCCGTTTCGGAAACCCTAAAAATAATTGAGACTCGTCTCACAAACGACGATACTTTAGCAAACAGAACTAAACTCCCCTGTTAACGTCATAATGGAACTTTTGGACTTCAATTCAATTCAATTCAAATTCTCTTTATTCATTCACAGTACAAGTTTTTATACAATGAATAGCGTCAAATAAATATAAAGATGAATTATGCTTTACTTAATGCTAAAACAATCATTATCTTTTCAAAACAAATTTTAAGCTTAAGAAGAATAAACAAAACAAAATTAAATCAAATCATCTTTCTAAACTATCATTTATGATTTCTCTTGAATTCCAAAATTAATCCAAAGAATACAAAGACAATGAAAGGAGATAATCTTTTGAATCTTTTTTTAAAAACGTCAAAACTTTTTTCCTCTATTATAACTTTAGGTAAATTAAATAAGAATTTGATGCCAATGAAACTACATTTCTTCTCAAAAAACTTTAATTTATGTCGTTCAACCTGCCTAGTATGCCTTAATTTATAGTGTCGAATATTTGTACTATTAGTTTGGAGGTTTAATTTTTTTACATGTAATATAGTTTCATAAATATACAAGTCATAGACTGTCATAACACCTAATTTAGAAAAGAACGGTTTCATTGATTGGCGTTTATTTTTAATTTTGAAAATAATTCGGAGTGCTTTTTTTTGATGATGAAGAATTTTATCCAAATTTTTCTGGGTAGTTCCTCCATAAATTGCTATACCATAGGATATGTGAGAATTTATTAATGCAAAGTATATGGTTTTTAAAGTATCAATATCACACACACTTGACATTTGTCGCAGGGCATATCTACCTTTTGACATTTTGTCAATTACATGCTCAACATGCTTATCCCAATTTAGGTTTTGATCCAATATCAATCCGAGAAATTTTGTATACTCCACTTGACTCAAGTTTGAATTATCAATGTAAATAATCGGGTTCAATTTACATCTTGATTGTTTTGTGGAGAATGATATAAAATTTGATTTACTGTAATTTATTAGGAGATTTTTGCTACTTGAGAAATCATTAATTGATAAAAGATTTAGAAAAGATTTTAGTTCGACTTCCTCTTGGGAGTTGCCTGTAACTGTGATGTTGGTGTCATCAGCATAAAGACACACTGAACTTCCTCCATCGACAGCTAGTGGGAACCCCCTCATATAACAAAGAAATAAAAGAGGGTCCAAAATAGATCCCTGGGGGACACCATATTTAATATTTTTGTATTCAGAGTAAATATTTTGAGCATAAGAGTATTTATTATTATTACTTGTGTCCTCAATGTAACTATTTCCAATTAGAGGGTAAATTACACCGTCAAGATGAGGGTATGGCCATGGGGTCACCATTGTCACCTATCTTTGCCAACATCTTTATGGAGGAGTTGGAGCAAAAAGCTTTGGCTTCAGCTAGGCTCAAACCGAAGATATGGTGGAGATATGTCGATGACACTTTCGTGGTTTTCCCTCTGAGTTTTTAGAGCACCTTAATAGCGTTTCATCTTCCATAAAACTAACCATGGAGGTGGAATCGCAAAACAAACTCCCCTTTTTGGATGTGTGCGTAGAAAAGCATTTGAACAGTCTTAGGACATCTGTTTATAGAAAGAAGACACACACAGTGCAGTATTTAAACTTTCAAATCAAACCACCAAATTTCTGTCAAAGAGGGGGTTGCTTACTCTCTGTTTGACAGGGCTAAGAGCATTTGCTCCAATCAGGATGAGTTAAAGGATGAAATAAAGAAAGTAGAACATGATTTGGCTAGTAACGGATACCCTCGATCCATTATAAACGAATGCAAGAAAGATAGTGCTACGCGTGAACCTTTACAAAATCGCAAGGAAAAGCTCGTCCACATGTCAATCCCGTATGTGTCAGGGCTGTCGAAAAAAATCAGAAGGGTTGCTAGGAAATTTAATGTGCAAACAGCGTTTAGGACAAAAAACACACTTAGGCAGAGTCTCGTTAAAACAAAACCCAAAAATTACACTCAGGATACTAAAAACTGTGTTTACAGAATAAATTGCAATGATTGTTCCAGGCCTTACTATGGCGAGACAAAAAGACCGTTGAACGTTAGAATCAAAGAACACAGAGAAAACACTAAAAAAGGTTTAGTGGAAATATCTAAGATCGCTCATCATTGCTGGTCCGAAAATCATCGTATGAATTTTGAAGAAGCAAAATTGTCCATAAGGAACCTCATTTTTTCAAACGTAAACTCATTGAAGCCTCATATATTAAATTAGCAGACCAATCAGTCAGTCATCGGTTCAAATCAGGCCACTTTGGCTACTCATTTTGAACAAGGAACTAAAGGATAGGGAACTTAATTGTTCAATAAATAGGAAAATAACAGTTTTTTGAAATTGAAAACATTCAAATTCATTTATTAATAGGGATGGTCAAGTCTCGGAAGTTCGAGAAATTTTCGGGTAATTTTAATTCTCGTTACACGAGACGAGATTTCTTTTTGGCCGAGACTTTTATCGAGACGAGAATTAAAAAAAAAAAAAAAATTAAAACACCTGCAGAAAGTCAATGCAATACCCGCAATACAGGAGCGTGTTGTAGTTGCGTTTCCTTTGCGAAGGCGTTTTTATTTAATAAATTCTTTTAATGTAAATATTACTTTAATTATATTACTTTAATAACATTTGAGAAGTTTTGTTAAGTGTAAGCAGTGTGAGGAATGTTTTATTACTATAAAAAGTTAAAACAAGTAACTATTT